GGAAGGCTTTCATCATTCCGTGGTGCCACTAGGAAGGTTTCTCCCTTCCCCAAAAAAAGAATGGATTACGCGGTAGAGGAAGGCATTCTGCTCATGCTCAAAGGACCTCTTGCCTGGAGCCAGCATCCCAGGGAGAGGGGCTGATGAAGGAAGCAACAGAGCCCACACAGGAGCGGGGATGGGGGTGGAAGAGAAGCCGCCTTATCCCCTGCCCAGAAAGCAACTTCCAATTTGGGGAGGGGGAGGGAGGAAGCGTCTTTCCTGCACTGGGGGGGGGGGAAACAAGAGTTGCTGGGGCTGCTCATATTTGCCAGTGAGGAAATGTGGGGAGGGGGAGACACAGGCAAGCCCCAGAGACGCAGCCTTGAGACAAGCCAAAGAGGGTCCTGGGGGTCTGTGCAGGGAGAGGCAAAGCAGAAGCCGCTGTGACTCAGCCTCTTCTGGGTTGACCTGGTTGAGGCTGTGGGAGGTGCAGAGGAGGTGGCAACGGAAGGCACAGGCGCACAGTCACAACTCCAGACCAAGCCCTGGCGGGGGTGGGTGCCAAAGAAGCTGCTGGTGGTGCTAGAAGGAAAGGGGGGGTGTCAGAGAGGGCTCCGAGTAGTGGGGGAGCAATATAAGCCCAATGACCCAGACTGGAAGAGCAGAGGGAGGGGGGGCAGGAGTCTGTGCCAATCCAAAATGTGGGCACCAAGGGGATGAAATGAGGTGCCAATGCCCTCCTTGCAGACCCCAGGAAAGGGGATGCTCCGTAGCTCCTGGACGAGGGGCTTCCTTGGCATGCTGTGATTGTAGCAAGAAAGGTTCTCCGGAGGGCACCAGGCAGAGCTGGCCGGCCAGCCAGGAATTCACCTCCCCAGTCAAGGCAGCTGGGGGACCAGATGCTTCTGGGGCACTGAGAGGTTCTGTCAGGCACAAGATGCCAGAAGCACCCAGGAAGCATCTCAACACGAGACCCTTTTATTGCTAGTCAGCTCCCTTAGAAGGATCTCGCCAGACTGGCAGCGTTTCCCTGGGAAGATAAGATAAGATAAGATAACCTTTATTGTCATTTTTTTTACTGTGGGCACAACGGCACACATCAAAAATGAAATTTAGTTGCCCGCTCTCAAAGTGAAACATACATGACACACTCCTAAACATACTATGAACAACATGTATAGACCCACATCCCTACATATACGCAGCAAAAAAATATTAAACACTGTCCATCTTGAAAATATAACGGAAGGAGGAAGCTTGAGAGTTCACAAGGTTAATGCTGTATGGAATGAAATTATGGCTGAATCTGGAAGGCTTCAGCCCTTCTGGAGAAGGTCAGGCATATACTGCTTTCCAGCAGTGCAAGGACTCTACCCTTGCCCCGCCCCACCCCTCCTAGAGGGATTTAAGAGGAGATTCCATCACAAGGGAGGGAGGAAGGGAGGGAAGGAAGGAAGGAAGGAAGGAAGGAAGGAAGGAAGGAAGGAAGGCTGCCACTTTCTGTAATGCAAGAACTCTAAGCTTGTCGTCCCCCCCCCCCAACATCTCCCTCCAGTCTGGCTGGAGATTCCACCACCAAGGATCTCCCCTGCATAAAAAGGGGAGTGTGGGGGGGGGGGGTTAATATGCAGCAGGGTTTCTCCACCAATGGGATTCCATGATCCCCCAAATGAATGTGTTTTCACTGGGATTAGGCCTAGGCAAGAAATAAATACATCACAAATTAAAAATAAATGCATAAATGAAATAAAGCAAAGGCACAACTGTGAAGCTTTATATAAAACGGGGACACCCGTGACTTACTCCACAGACACTTCAAAAATGAGCCACGCCGTGGAGATTCTGGAAAGACGTCACTGCGGGTAATCCTTGACTTACAACCACAATTGAGCTCAAAATTTCTGTGGCTACGTAAGACATTTGTTGTGATTTTTACCCCATTTTACCTTTCTTGCCACACTTAAATAAACCAGTGCAGTTGTTTAGTAACATGGTTGTTAAGTGAATCTGGCTTCCCCATTGCTTGTCAAAAGGTCACAAAAGGGGATCACGTGACCCCGGGATACAGCAATTGTCATAAATTTGAGTCAGCTGCCAAGCGTCTTTAAGTTTTGATCCTGTGACCGTGCTGATGCTGGAACAGTCATGTGTGTGAAAAACGGTCATGTCATTTTTTTTCAGTGCCATTATAACTTCAAATGGTCATTAAGTGAACTGTTGTAATTCAAGGACTACCTGTATTTTTCAAGAGAAGCCAAACTCGGCTTCAGCGGTCAGTGTGACTGGACCACCTTATCTGATAATTGCTCATGATAGGGTCAAGTAGGGTCTGTCGTTTATATACTCTGTAGATATTACAATTCTGGACATTTCCACCCCCTTCAAAACCTACGGGAAAAGCTCCCCAGCCCCCCACATGGTTGATCTGAGTCCCCCTTGACTCAGTCCTCTTAAAGCCTGCATGGAGGCCCCCTCGCTGCACTCAAGTTTGGCGTCCTACAGTCGCCATCCGACCACAACTCCAAACACACGAGGAAGATGTTCTGCATTAAGGAGATGTGAAGGCCACCCTGGAAAAGTTGCACCTTGCCTGCAGTCTTCAGAGGCCAGCCAGGCTGGCAGCTGATGTTGCAGGAGGAGAGGGAGTCAGCAGAAGGCACCCTGGGTTGGCAGGGGGGCAGATGTGGCTCCCCCACCCACCATGAGAGGACCAGCCTGGGGTGCTGGATTATGGCTTCAAGCCGTCTTCCAGCTGGCACAATCCCCAGGCAGCTTGTGCTCCGGCTGATCTGGAGAGGGCTCTTTTTGGGGGGGGGGAATTGTGGCAAGTTCTTAAAGAGATGGGAATACCAGACCATCTTATTTGTCTCTTGAGAAACCTATATGCGGGTCAAGAAGCAACAGTGAGAACTGGACACGGAACCACTGATTGGTTCAAAATTGGGAAAGGAGTCCGGCAAGGCTGTATACTGTCGCCCTGCCTATTTAACGTATATGCAGAGCACATCATGAGAAAGGCAGGGCTAGATGAATCAAAAGTTGGAATTAAGATTGCCAGGAGAAATATCAACGACCTAAGATATGCAGATGATACCACTCTAATGGCAGAAAGTGAAGAGAAACTAAAGAGCCTCTTGATGCGGGTGAAGAAGGAGAGTGCAAAAGTTGGCTTGAAACTCAACATTAAGAAAACCAAAATCATGGCATCCGGCCCTCTCAATTCCTGGCAAATAGATGGGGAGGAAATGGAGGTAGTGACAGATTTTATTTTTCTGGGCTCCAAGATCACCTCAGGTGGGGACTGCAGCCAAGAAATTAAAAGACGCTTGCTCCTGGGGAGGAAAGCTATGGCAAATCTAGACAGCATACTAAAAAGCAGAGACATCACCCTGCCAACAAAAGTGGGTATAGTCCAGGCCATGGTTTTCCCAGTTGCAATGTATGGCTGTGAAAGTTGGACCATAAGAAAGGCTGAGCGCCAAAGAATTGAGGCCTTTGAACTATGGTGCTGGAGAAGATTCCTGTGACTCCCCTGGACTGCAAGGCGATCAAACCGGTCAGTCCTAGAGGAGATCAACCCCGACTGCTCTTTAGAAGGCCAGATCCTGAAGTTGAAACTCAAGTCCTTTGGCCACCTAATGAGAAGGAAGGACTCACTGGAGAAGGGCCTAATGCTGGGAAAGATTGAGGGCAATAGACGAAGGGGATGACAGAGAATGAGATGGCTGGATGGAGTCACTGAAGCAATAGGTGTGAACTTAAATGGTACTCCAGAAGATGGTAGAGGACAGGAAGACCTGGAGGAACATTGTCCATGGGGTCGCGATGGGTCGGACACGACTTCGCAGTTAACAACAACAATATTACATTGTTTGGGGGAAACTTGGGGTTTAGCCTTCAGTGCAGGTACCCTGTACTTTGGAAGACATTTCTTGATGAACTTTGCTTGCTTTGAAAGACTTCAAACGCACCATTTCACATGGGCTTTTAATCACCATTTCATTTTAAAATGCTGAATCTTTTAATGAATGGTTTGATGGCCTCTCACTCGAACATTCCTAGCTAAACTAATACATTTTCTGAGTTCACACAACCTGTCGAACCCTTCAAGGAGCTCGGGCTCGTCCAATTCATGTGCATCCCAAAAAAGCATCCCCAATCTTAAAAAATCCGGAGTAGAAGCATGTGTGAGGCACCCAGTTTTGGCGTCTGCTCTTAGCAAACACCCGAAAGTGCTTTTTCCAAAAGGCAACTGGACTTTCTTGGTTTTTTTCTTCAAAAATACTTAAAAGAGAACCGAAGAAGCTTCTTGGATGTGAAGTGAAACGTTTTCAAAGGAAAAACCCAAGAAAGTCCAGTTGCCTTTTGGAAAAAGCACCTTTGGGACAACCGTGATCTGGAAGACGGAGCATCTCCATATAGACTCTTAGCAAACAAGTTATCCTGGCTAGACCACGTGTGACCGCTCAGAGCCTGCCTTGTTCTCCTGGATCACATCTGATCAGCCATGCTCTTCCTGGTCCATGGACTCCTCCACCCAGGCACCACTTGCCCCCAGCCCTGGAGCATAGGGGTCAGCTACCAAGGAGCCTCTCTCGTCCTTCTCCCCCCCAAGCAAAGAAGTCCATCGTACCCATCCTTAATTACAGTAGTAGTCAGGCCAAACACAACGGGGAGGGGCTTCCCCCTCCCGCCCCTTCTCGAATGGCCCCAGAAAGTGTGAAGAAGCCGCAAGGGCTCCTGGGCAGGGCGGGGGCTGCTGGAGGGACCTTATTTTGCAGGGTCCGGGAGGACTTTATTTGGTCTTGGCAGCGGGGGAGGCAGTTGCTCCCTCCGGTTGTCTTTTGCAGGCAGCCGGTGGGAAATTCTTCCCCCTTCTATCCCAACAGGGCCGTTGCCCGGCTTAGGTGCTTCCATCAGCTGCAATGGGGGTCGGGGGGGGTCGGGCGAAGCCGGCCGGCAGGCAGGCCGGCCGGCCGGCCTGGCCTGCCTGCCTGCCTGCCTGCCTGCCTGCCTGCCCAACTGGGGGTCCGCGGGTGCTGCCCCCCCCAGGCAGGGCCGGTCAAGCTCTCCCGGGAGCGCAGCAGTCCGCCTTTAAGCTGCCCCGAGCGGCACCTGAATCCCATCTCCGGCCGCAGCAGCTGCGGCTCCTTAAGGCCCGCCGTCCGGCCCTGCCCGTTTCACCTCCGCCGCGATGGAGCCCCTGCGGGGTCTGGCGGGCCAGATATCGGCCCTAGAGCGCTCCCTCCGCCTGCTGCTGGGGTTGCTGCTGCCCTGCCTGCTCCTCCTGCTCCTGCTCAGCGCGTTACTCCTCTTGCGTTGGCGCCTGTGCCGGAGGGTGGGGGCCCCCAGCGCCGCCCGGGGCCCCTCCACGCCCCCACGCCTCCTCCCGGGAGCCCCCAAGGCTGCCGTGGTCAGGCACGATCCGGGCGACGGGACGGCCCGGCGGCAGCTCGCCCAGACCCGGGGTGCAGCTCCGACGGGCCCTGCTGGCCCGCGGGCGCCCTGTTGCGGGAGAAAGGCGGCCTTGTCCTACCTGCCCGGATCCAGCCCTCGTTTGCTCCGGTTGGAGAGAGGGGCGCCGCCGTCCTTCAACGACTTGGAAAAGCACCCCGTCTTGGTGCCCCCCAACTCTCCTGTCACCTCCTCGGGCACTGGGGTAAGTAGGGGGCATTTTCCAGGGATCCCTCTTGCCTCTTCCTGTAATCAGGACCCTTTCAGATTTATTGGGCTGCCTGAGCAGGGGGTTGGATTAGATGACCTCCAAAGTCCCTTCCCACTTTATTATTTTTATTACTATTACTATTACTACTTCCCAGCCAAGCTTCAGCCAGCAATGCTTGGGGGTTGAACCTCCCACTTAAATGGTGACTTTGCTTCCCCTCCAACCTCTCAGCAAGACTTTTGAGGGCCTTGCTGTGGAACGGAGCCTGCCATGATCAGGGGGCCACTGGTGGGACCTCCTCTAAGAGCCCTAACCCCTAAATGCTGCTCCACTTCCCCCCCCCCTTCAAGGCAGGACAGCCAGGCTTGGGATGGTCAGCAGGAAGGAAAATACTGAAAGAGTCCCTTGACTGGATGGAGGGGGGGGGGCGACTTGGTCAATTTTCCCTTTCGTCCACTTGTTCCTGGCCAAAACAGGGTGAACAAAGGGATCTTGGTGAGAGTGGGAACAGATCCCGGGAGATCCCTGGCAACTTGCTCCCTTCTCCGTAGGGTGTCCTGGAGAGGGTCTTCTCCAGCTGCCACACCAGCACCCAGAGGAAGCCCCGTAGCTGCAGCCAGTTGGCATCAGGTACCCATTCCAGCACTGGGCCTTTTGAGTTTGGCAGCAGCATCCGGCCTGGGGACAGGAGGGCCCATCTCAACTCTGCCAACTACACAGCCTCCCAAGGGCCTGGCCTCGACTCGTACTTTGGCGCCAGTGCGGGTGAGTGGGGGCCAAGAGGGGACGAGACGAAGAGCTGCTTCTGGTGGGTCCGAGTTCTTGGCACTCAAGTGCCTTAAAGGCAGTAGATGAGAGTTGGAAAGGAATCTGAGAAGGGGGGTTGCAAAGCCATGGGTCATGCCCAGAAGAGGGTCCTCCTAGAGGATATGGCTGGGTTCATCCAGACTGGCAGTGTCCCCTTTGCCAGAGGCCAGCAATTAATAGACTCTGAAGGGAAGGCAGAGGGAAAAGAGAGGACTTGCTGAGCTTCAGAACAGCACAGCCACAGAACAGACTGATCCAAGGGCTGGGAAGAGGGGGCCATAAGGCAGAAGCCCTCTCGGCCTTGGTTTTCTGTGCCCAGGAATAATAATATATACAGTATACCAGCAGGGCTTTGCTACCCTTCAACAGCAAGTGCCTGAGCAACCAGAGGCCCTGTCCCACCCTGCAGTTCATTCCCCAACCATCCCTTGGATGGTGTGCTGATCCCTGGATGGAGATCTTCAAACAGGTTGTCCCTCACAGGTGCACGATGCCTGGGTTCGCACAACACTCTGACTCCTGAATTAGTTGGCCGCAGCTTAGCTTGGCATGCTGGCACCTGCAGGTCATTCCCCAGTCAGGGGTGGGAAAAAGGATCAGGTGGCCCCACTGAAGAAGGACACACATTTAGTTTTGCAGCTATTAAGATTGTTGGATGAGCAGGCACAAAAACAGCCAGGGAAGTGATTGAAGTCTGGGAAATAGGCTCAGTCAGCAGGAGTGCTGATTGACTACCAGCCTATCAAGTGCTTAGAATGCCAGTGTTGGGCAGCACAAGCAAAGGACAGCTAATGATTTAAAAGCCAGCCATCAACACTCTCTAATCAACAGCTAAAAAGCCACTTACGACAGGCACTATAAATGCCACACACAGAACAGTACACGCTCTGCTAGAGAGGAGTTCCCTGAGGATGGACTGCAGCAGGAGTCCAAAAACTCGGAAGACAAAATCTCTGGTCCCGGTAACTGTCCCAGATGGGATCCTGCAACTTCATCCTGGGACAAACATATTTGCCTTCATTCGTATGCACCTAGGGTCAGCTGAGTGGCCAGTGTGCATGACGATCACCATGTCTAGGTATGGCCTAAGGGAGGGGTAGGCAACCTTGGCTCTTTTATGACTCGTGGACTTCAACTCCCAGAATTTCTGAGCCAGTGTGGCTCAGCTTGGAAACTCTCCCTTTTCCCTCAGCATGGCTGGCTCAGGAATTCTGGGAGTTGAAGTCCACGAGTCATAAAAGAGCCAAGGCTGCCTACCCCTGGCCTAAGGTGTCATGTGACCCACGCAGACAAAATTGCCACCATATTTCAAGTCAGAATTCTTAAGTCAGAATCTTCAGGGATCTAAAAGGAACTGAGTGCTTCTTCTCATGAAACCCTTGTCCCAACATATCGTCTGGGGAGCACCCACAAGGCTCCCTGACCTCATAGGCCTCTGCCAGGTCAGAGAGCTCCACAAGAGGCATGGCACAGCTTGACCATGCCACTGGTGTTTGGAAAAGGGTCCTGAGCTGTCGGGATTGGCCATGGCTTGTCTTGTTGGTTACAAGGTAAAATGGACCCCTGATTAGGTTTAGGTATTATACAAACACAACCCTTTTTGAACTACGTTGAGCACATTGTGAAGACCAATTTTTCAGCCTCGTTCAACTTTTAAGTTGTGTGGATGTCAACTCCCAGAATGCTGGCTAGAGAATTTTGGGAGTTGATGTCCACACGTCTTAAAAGTTGACGAGGTTGAGAAATTCTGGCTTAGAAGATTGGCTGATGGCTTTGATGGGACCACTAGCCCAACTCAACTGAACAGCCGTAGTTGGACCTCCTTCCCTAGGACAGCTCACCCAAGGCCGTTTGAGTTGCGGTGACCACAACCTGGTCTTCCAAGCTAGTAATTCTTCTGACATTTCGAAGAAGGCCGCCTTCCTCGGCTTCAGCTGAAGGACGTGATTGCTTCTGACACCAAACCTCCTTAAGCTCATGACAGATCTACCAACACTGAACCAGATTGTCTTCCGCTAGAGAGGGCGATTAATGAAGAGAGATGAGACATAAGGAGGGTGGCGTGGTTTTTTTTTTAACATCTCTGTAGTACTCAACTCTGCCAACAAATACGTAATCTGGATACGAGAAGCCGTGTATAGAAAAGGCTTCTTGGACACCCTTGAATCCTTCCAGACAGACAGCCGAGTGGAAGAGGGAAAACTAAAATAAAACAGATCCGAAGGGGCAACCAGCCTTGTTTGCCCCCTTTTCTCTTCGCACATGGGATGCCCGGCTCCTGCTGAGAGGTCTCCCTCAGGGTCTTTTTTGTATTTCTTTCCTTCCTCCTTGTAATTCTGCAAACCACCCCCGCGCATCGCTAAGCACGTTTTGCCCACATAAAGGCTTCCCATTTGGAGGATAACATAGAACCACGTAGGTTGTAGGTTGATAAATAACGAGGCTGCTGGCAGAATCGCTGGATGACGAGGCAGCTTCTCTCTCTTTGCAGGCATCTCTGTCCGGATCTTGTCAACCGACAGCGAAGGGAGCCCCAACACACCCCTTGTGCATCCCCAGCAAGCAGAGCTCTTTGAGTGGGACTACTATGACCCCAGTTACAAGAGGAGAGCTCAGCTCCATCGCTCCCTGCCTCCCATTTGCAGCAAGCAGTACTGGCTGTAACCCAGGAGAGTCCACAAGTTGTCTTTACCGGGCTTTGTATATGTGTATGTGTGGAAGAGAGATGGCTTGTTGGGATTTATTGTAATGATTGATTTTAGTTGTGTGTGTGTCTCTCTCTCTCTCTCTGGCTTGCACTCTGCTTATTGGGAGAGAATTCCTGCATCGGTTGAATGTCTGTCCAAGGGAATATTTTCACAGCACAAAAAGCTTCATGTACACCTATCTGCACCCTTTATACCTGGGGTGTCCATCTTTGGCCACTGTTAAGACTTGTGGACTTCAACTCCTAGAATTCCTCACCCAGCATGCACTGGTTGGGGAATTCTTGGAGTTGAAGTCTTAATGTGGACAGGGTTGGATACCACCAACCCCCCCCCCGCTTTATACAGTAATTCTGTGCCTAAATATGGACACTTTCAGCAACCCGTGTGTGTGGCTGTCCATTCATCACAGTCCGTTTTCACAGTCCTTTCAAGTACAAGGCCCACACTGACATTCGGCTAGGTAGCACTGAACAAAAATAACGTAGCAAGAACGCCATCAATCTAATCTCAATAACCCAAAGTGATGAACACCCCACTGGGGACGGATGCATGCGGAAAGAGACACAGGCCAACCCCACAGGTGCTCATTATTCTGCACATCAGCACAAACCCAAGCAAGGGATGCAAAGAGAGAGAGCTGGTGGGACACAAACCCAGATGCAGCACATGATGCTGATTTTATACTGTGTTTATTAAAGATACTGAACTGTTTCTCTTCCATTTGGTTTCTTTTTAAACATATGAAAGCAGAGGCTAAGCTGATGTAACCTCTGTGTCTGTGGTCTTCCCGGGTGTGCGCAAGACACAATGGCTACAAAACAGCCATGTTATAACAAAGGTTGATGCGTTAAGGTGGAGAATGCAATAGTTTGCAAGAATGAAACTTGCAATACGAGAATCCAGCGTTGTTCAGAGCAGGGGTCTTCAAACTTGGCCCTTTTCTGTGCCTGGCTGAGGAATTCTGGGAGTTGAAGTAGGTTCAGAAGGTAGGAGAGAGTGACCTGAACTTCCTAATTTCTTGAACTATCTGTCAAATTTATGTTTTAGTGTGGGGTTCTCCCCAATAGGTTGGTTAAATTAATACCACCATTCTCTTTATCTAGTGTAGCTTTTCCCCTGGGTAAAAGAAGAAAACATACTAGCGCTGTCAATTTTAGGTTCAAAAGGAAGGATCGTGATCTTTAAAAGCCATTAAATAATAATGTTAAAGAAATGCTGAACGCACATACATTGTGCAGAGAGGTACTTTGATGTACCTCTGCGCTATAAATATTTTCTAAGTGAACTGAATAAAAAACCAGGAAAAACTGACAGCATATTTCGGCAAAATCTTTGCACTTCATTTGAATTTTGGCAAGCTTCGTTATTTCAAAAGGGCTCCTATTCCTGGAAGCCTACACATAGATCCTGCGAGCAAAAACACTGCACGACAAAAGAAAACATACACAGCTTTGGCAAACTGATGGAAGACGGTGCACTAAGTGGAGCTGCTATCCAAAATGCTAGAGGCTCACATCAGCGGCTAAATTGCAGAAATCATGACATTCTACTCTAAAGGATCCCCCATCCCATCCCGTTTTCTGGGAGTTTTCCAGAGGGAACAGCTAGCTCTTTTCATTCACCAGGTCAGGCTACTGTTTTAAGGATGGCTGTACAGCAAAAATACAAATTACAATGGGCAGAGCCCAGAACAAACCGTATGATGTCCCAGCATGTGGTGTGAACTCAGCTGTTAACTATCTGCCAAAACCACGTGTGTCCACATAAGACACCGACAGCTACAGAGCTTGTAGCAAGAGCAACCCCTCATGTCGGGAACAAGCAGGGGTGTGCAGTCATGTTATTGTCATAACTTCAGCAATCCGGATCTCACATCGCTGCTTGGTTTGGAAAGACATCTGAGTTCAGCCAGCATAGATAGATCATGGGTGGGCTTAGTTTCAGTGTGAAGTCAGCCTGTGTGGTATAGATAATACAGTTCCACTGGTCGATGCCTAGAACTTCCTTGGACCCCTAACCCATTTTCTACACCAGTTTTCCCGGAGGTTTCCACCCTGTAAATCTGAGGTTAAACAGCAGCTGCCTCAGGAAGATTACCTAGCCCAGGGGTCTGCAACCTTAAACACTCAAAGAGCCACTTGGACCCATTTCCCAGAGAAAACCCTGGAAGCCGCAAAACTTGTGAACGCACGTGCGCTCACAAGGGGTGCGGACCTTGATTGAAGAGTTTAATTAAAAAGAAATAGAGGCTGCTGTGCATGAGTTCTCTCTCTCTCCTCTCACTCTCTCTCTTTCGTCTCCCTCTCTCTTTCTCTCCCTCTCCCCCTCTCTCCGATCTGCTCACCTGGCAAGCTGGCTTCAGGCTCTTCTCCAACAAGCTGACACATATTATTGGGCTGGCTCTCTCCTGCTCTTCCTGCTTCCTGCAGAGACACAGCAAAGGGAGGAGTCCCGTCCAATAAGCTTGTCAGCTCGTCGGAAAACAACAGCGTGAGGCAGCTCTTTTTTACACACACACACACACACACACACACACACACACACACACACAGAGAGAGAGAGAGAGAGAGAGAGAGAGAGAGAGAGAGAGAGAGAGAGAGAGAGAGAGAGAGAGAGAGAGAGAGAGAGAGAAGGGAAGCGCAAGCGCAAGCGCCTCTCTCTGTCTCTGTCTCTCTCTGCAAATGGCAGAGGAGGCTGGGAACCGCAGGAGAAGGCTCAAAGAGCCACATACGGCTCCAGAGCTGTGGGTTGCCAACCTGTGACCTAGCCTTTGGCCAAGAGGCCCTCCTTCCCAGAGACCCAGGCAGCCAATCAGCACTTAAAGGAACGGGGGGAGGGGCTGGGTAGGAACAAGGGTCCCTATTCCTGAACTTATTTCAATCCAGACAGAAGGCTGATTGCAACAAACATCAAATCGGATAAGCGTCTGACTTGCATTTACTGAAGATGTTTAGCCACTTGACAGCCAGAGAGTGTTTGTTACAAAAGGAAAAAACAGGCCAGCTTCAGCCCTCCTGCAGGATTAGAAAGCTGTAGTGCAAACTTTCTGCTCTGCAGCCATCTTCCTCTGTATAGTACAAGGCTCTGAAGCTCACATCAGCTTTAGATTTCTTCAGAAAAATAAATTATAAATACAAATAAAAACACGGAGCACCATTAACAGTTACTGAAATTAGGATAATTGGCCTGTGGGTAGAATGCATCCATTGACTGACAAAAGGGTGAACACAAAAAGAATTTAAATCAGGAGATAATGAGAGGGACAGCCTCTTGTTAATTGCACCCAGCTCCTGCTCCGGAGCTGTGTTCCGTGGATTTCCAATCTTTTCTAAGAACTCCAACATTAAAAAGGGTTTTTTGTGAAGACTATTAAGCTCACTTAGTCACATCCTACATTTAATGTTTTGTGATTCTGGGCTTTGGAGGGTACACAACCACTGGGAGCGTCTTCTATTCAAGCTCTCCCAGAAAACATTTAATTTCTCCACAAGGGGCTTTGTGAATCATGCTTCAAGTCAGTAATAGGCCAGCATTGTGAGGAAGATTAACTAAAGTTAGTTGACTGAGCTCCCATTCAGAGGCCTTCGGTGTGGAAAAAGGAGGTGAGCTGCTCAGACAAAGCTCTCACATCAGACCTTCATCCAAAGCAAAAGAAGAAGACCTGATGAGGCCAGTGAGCTTCACATACAGCCCAAGCAGCAGGGACATCCCATGCTGGACCTTGGATGTTGTTTTTGTTTTTTTCTTTGAAGATGTTTCACTTCTCATCCAAGAGGTTTCTTCAGTTCTACCTCTGAAAAAGCTTCTTGGTTGAGAAGCGAAATGTTCTCAAGGAAAAAAAAAAAAACCCAAGGAAGTCCAGTTGCCTTCTGGAAAGGCACCCCAGGGACAACCCTGGTATGGAGGATGGAGACTCTTCCTAGACAAGCAGCAGGGACCCCCCCCCCCAATGCAGGTAGGAGAAAAGCAGCAAAGCCTGGCAGGAGGAAGAGGCTGGCACAGCAAAGGAAGTACTTGAAGCAAAAACCACACAGCCACGTCCTGCCCACGGAAAAGTACCTCCCGTTTCATCTGTTGAAGGCGTCACTAGAGGAACTGGGTGGCCTTTGAGGAAAAGCTCCAAAGTCTATTTCCATCTTCCCCAGGGGGATGAGAAATGTTGGATGAGTTTAACCAGGAACAAAGGAACAACATCTAGGCCAGCTTGAAGTTATGGACTTTTTTATTTTTGTGGGTTTTTATCAATTTTTTTTTTTTACAGGCTATGGTTGTACCCGTTGCTAAAGCTGCTGATTCTGCCATAAAACTAGAACAGAAAATTTCCCAGAAGTCAATTCCCCTCCTCCTCCTCCTCAACTGCCTGCCTACCTCCCAACCAAACCAGCCAACCGACCGCCTTACATTTACAGCAGGCTCAGCTTAGAGAGCCTGAGACGCAGCTACATGAGTCTGACCAAGGAATGAAGAAGCCAGGAGTCCACTCGTCATTAGGACCGCCCTGTACAACGTGGCCTGTTCTGGAATTTGGTCCACTCTGACTGCACCTTAACCATAGAGATCGTCATCGTTGTCTTCACTGTAAACGTTGCCGCCGCCGCTGCCTCCGGTGCCCTGGCTGGGTCCAGCACCACCTTGGTTACCTGATGGGAATCTGCCAGGAGAAGCAGAGCAGGGAGGAAAGCAGGTGAGTAGTCATAAGAACAACTGGATTTCAGGCCAGAGGTGAGGAGCCATGACTTCTGAGCTGGGGCTTGGAGAGAACAGAAGCCAGACACCAACATCTGGAAAGCCAAAAGGGGATCCCCCACTACGAGGCAGACTCTCCTGCCTCAGAGTAGGTTCAGAGAGCCCCACATAGGGGAGGCAAAACAATGCAGGAATGGTCTTTCTTTCTGGTTTGTTTATTAGATCTCTTCCTTCCAACTTAGGTGTTTTCATGCAACCCCTTGTTCTGTGTAGACCAGACATGTCAAACACAAGGCCCGGGGGCCGGATGCGGCCCACAAAGTGGTTTCATGTGGCCTGCAAAGCCATCCTGGAAACAGTGAGGGAACGGCCCCCGCTGCCTTGGCCCTGGCCCTGGCCAGCCGGGAGCCAATGTACAATTTTGTGGTGGCCCTCTATGCTGAAACGCATTCAGTCTTAGCTCCATAAGCCCCCCCCCCACCCCCGCATGGCCTGAGAGGAACAGTGAGGCTCCTCAAGTGGACCATGCTTTGGGACTTGCTCTGGTCCCACCCCCTTCTGCCAGAGACCCTCAGATCTGTCCCACTCCTGCCCAGGCCCCCACAGGCACACTTGACGCGAACGATGTAGAGCTGGCCACA